CATCCCAAAGGCAGCTACTCAGCTGCTTGTGGTAGATCCCTCCATGGAGTTGATTGCCAGTCTCATCATGGGGAATAACTACCACCAGCTGCCTAGCCACTCAACCAGGCCCAGCCAAGTTGACACCCAAACATAACTAACTACCACACTGCTCTGAGCAGGGACGCAACAGAAGAACCTGGTTAGAATGGAAGAAAAATGTAAAACAAAACAGATTCATTAAAAAACAAAACAAACAAACAAAAAAAAACCCCAGACTTACTGGACTTGATAGAAAATAGAGGAACCCCGGAGACTATCAACTAAGACATCCTTTTTAATTTGGAATTGAAGCAACTCCCAGAGGCTGCCTTTCAGCCAAATAATACACTAGTCTATAAAACAAACAATAACACCCATGAGGAATGTGCTCTTTAAACAATCAACTATACATGATCAAACGGTCAATATTTACTCACAAGCAAAGATGAGAAGGTAAGGAGGGGAGGGAAAATTGGATGGATAGAAATGGAGCAGGTGGGATGAAACAGTGAGAGTTTGGACACACTGCAGGGATTGTAACCAATTGTTGTGCATGAATTGTTGAATGGGAATTTAATTTGCTGTGCAAACTTTCACCTACAACACAATAAAATATTCAGGAAAAAAAAAAGTAGCTACTGACATATCTGAATTTATTTTATAATAAATAAATAGAATGAACATACTGTACTCTAAAAGGAGCCTTCCAGAGCCATCTGCTTCCGCTTTTCTTTAACATTCAACTCAAATCATGAGAAAATACACTATCTAAACTAATTTCAAATAGTGTCTTTGTGGTCTTATTTAGAATTTAAACATTTCCTGTTATGAGTATCAAATAGGAAATCTTGCTCTTTAACCACCTACTTCATCTTTTTTACTATTCATAAAAGGAAACAAAAAGCATAAATGACATCTTTCCATTGGTACCTGAACAATGCCAATAGACTAAACAGATCAGCCAAAAGAAATAAGTTATGGAAACTGAGAGGAGTAAGAAGCTTCATGAAACCTGATATATCTCACCAGGTGCAAAACACATCTTTCCTTAGAGTTGATTCGGAAATCTACTTAGTTCTTCCACATACAATAAAAGTATTCATCTCTGAATGAGAAGTAAAAGGACTATAAAGGGCCCCAGTGACCATGTAATTGCAAAGAGAAAAGCACATGGTAACTGTTTCTTTGGGAAAGGGTCAAAATCCTCAAATAAAAAGTCATTGATGTCAAATCTGCATCTACTATCAGGGAATCATGAAAAGCTATGAGTCGGGTCTGACTCGACGGCACATAACAACAACAACAACAAATAAAAGCACAACCCCTGAACTCACCACACATGTGCCTTAATATGTACAAGGTGACAAGATATTAAGAAAAATGATCATTGTAATCGCTGGTAATATCTCTCTATGCCTCCTCTTCAGAAAAAAGCTATGCTTACAGTTTTACAAAAATTAAATCACCACTATTTAAATGGCAGCACTAGGCCAACCTTAGATTACAAAGGTCCAAAGTTAATCTGGCAAATCTTGATAACTTCTAATTCCTTAATTGGCTTCTTTAAAATAAAAAATGTTTAAAGGCCATCAACAGACCTAGATGAAGCCAAATAGATCCACAGCACAGTTCTTCCTGAACATTCAGTAAGATGCCAAATCAAAGATGTTTGTTTCTGATCACCAAGTACAATTTCTTTCTTGGGAGTCTATCAGGCTGTTCTGAATTTGTAATTTCCTTGAAGCACTGTCACTTTTAATAGGTATGTGTCTTGCCAGAATATGCTCACTTCATTCTGACAGTGACAGAAAGCTCACTAATAAAGTAGTTTGACCAGTTTCATTCTAAGAGTGTGAAGAAAGGAGAAACTGCATTGAAAAGGCTGCATATTATACATAATGTAGTTCACTAAATAATAAATTCAGGAATTGTCATTTTCTTTGATAGTTCTGAAAACCACTACCGATAAAGGAGCTTTACACATTTGCTTTGCCCTTTCGTCTTCATTTACCTGTCAGGATGAATAGAAGAGAGCACAAAGACAAGGAGAATGACATCCAGGATCCCATCTGGAAAAGGGTAGGGTAAGCCATCATCGCATACATCATGAACAAAGGCGGAACACTGGGCTGCTCTGTAGGATGAGTGCGACTGTCATGATAAAGGAGTAAAGAGCAAAGAAAGTAGTTAGCAGACTTCTAGTATTTCTCTTTAAATAAAAAAAAGGTCAAATTATTTTCTCCAGAGTGTCCTTCGTCTGTAATTCTGAATTCAATTTATTTCCTAACCAGTATTCTGTTAGATTATTTCAAGCAGCCATAAAAAATTAAGTATAGCACTTGGACTTGATAATAAATATTCTGCGAAATCTCTCTTTAATTTGAAAAGTGAGGGAGGGCAGGCTTTATGAGTCAGTAGGCAGGGTTGCTGGAGGCCTGCCCTCTGCTATTTCAGAGGTGCTGAGATGGTCCTCCACTCTCTAGCTGCCTTCTCAATGCCTCCTTTGGCTTAAAATAAAAATATCCTGTATAGTACAGTCAAAATTAGATGGTGGTGATGGTTGCACAACTGTGAATATCCTAAAAACCACTGAAATGTATATGTTAAAAGGGTGAATTTTACAGTACATGAATTATATCTCATGTACTATTTATTATTATTATTTTTAAAAATTGCACTAGAGTACACACACATTTACACACACACAAACGTCCCTACAAAAACAACACAAGAAAGATATCTACCAAAACACTAGCAGTGATTTACCCTAAGAAGTATGTTGTTGTTGTTAGTTGCCATTGAGTTGATTCCAACTCAAAGAGACCCTAAGTATAGAACTGCTCCATAGAGTTTTCAAGGCTGTCAGTTTTTGGAAGCAGATCATCATGCCTAACTTCTGAGGTGCCACTGAGTGGGTCTGAACTTCCGACCTTCCAGTTAGTAGTCTAGTGTTTAACCATTTGCCCTATTCAGGGACTCATAGAAAGTATGATATTATACAGGTGAATTTTATCTTCCCCTGTAGACCTTTAGAACATATCTACAAAGAATAATTGTTACTCTTAGCATCAGAAACTAAGTTCTATGTGTTTACTATATATTTTGTTAGTAGAATTTCCTTTCCTTTTGCATTTCCTAGAATTACCTCTTCACTCTAAGGGTAATGCTCTCTAGCATTGAGATCTGTCAAACAAGTGCAGGTTCCCCACTGATCTCCACAGAGTCAAGGACATTTTAGATATTTGTATCATCTGTTAGATTTTTTTTTTTGTTTTCAAAAGCTTGAATTTAGTGAATGCCTACTAGTGTCAGACTGTGTGCAAGGCTCTCAGAATACAAATATAAACAAAACCATTTTCTACAAGGCACCTGAAGCATATTATTGTTTGAAGGAGGGATATTTACTCATATGAAAATCTTGACTAATTTTAATTGGCCTCCTGTGACCTTAAACAAGTTCTGCTTGGCCTTTCTCTGAAATTCAGTAATGATAGCTGAGCCGATTGTTCATGGGCAAGCAGATACTTTCATTTTTGTGGGCTGGTACTCTTTCTGGTCATCCCCTGTATGCTACTGCCTTTCTAGGCAAACCTTGAGATCTATTTTAAATTAAAAACAACTTCCATTATTTTATACTATATATTCTATATTAGGGCAATATGTTAGGCATCAGCTAATGATCTGATTCCCAGAAATAGTAAAAGCTTGGTTAAAAATGCTCATAGATAACATCTGGCCCAGAAACATTTCAGAAGAATCACTTCAACAGTCAATAAACCACATTCTTACATGGGATCCCTTTAAAGAAAATACAAGGCATACCTGTACCAGCTCCACAGCTCCAGAAGCAAAATCACAACAATAAAGGAAGGACCCTGGTACATTTCTATGAAAAAGGAAAAAATACATAAGCCTAGAGTCCAGACATATTCAAACGCAGAAGAAAGGACACTATAGGTCTGACTCGTTCATAGGTATTTCTCTAATAGAATTTTGGATGCCGTTTGGCTTGTCATTTCCTTTTTGTAAATATGGTTTCCTATATGATTGCCTTCAAGTTGCTTCTGAACCAGCACTGTCTAAAACTTATTGTTAAACTCCTGTCCAGGTTTTAAGCCTCTCTATTACTTAAATTGACCTGCCTAATATGCCCTCACACTCTCACAGGAGAAACCTCCAAGGCCATCCATGAGCTCTGTTCCTTCTTCTTCCTACCCAACACAGGCATTCTTTCTTCTCTGACTCTAGCCAGCATGCCTTCTTTGCTTAGTCAAGTTCTTTCCTTTTCCAAAGACTCTCAGAGTCCTGTGTACTTTGATGCTTCATTTCTCTTCCAGCTACAACTTATTTGGTTCTTTGGCCTCTGATGCCCTAACAGGACATGATCTTCAGGATAAAAATGGATATTATATCCATATATTTTTAACTGCATGGAAATATAACTTCTAAGAATACTAAAACAATAATGTAATAATTTTTAATTATCTTTTCCAGTTGTCAAATATTTATTGAGCTTCATCTATGTGATAAGAATACGAAATAGTAAATGAAATGGTCTATTAAGATAGTAAGAGTATGGGTTTTGGAGGCAAACAGATCTTTATCTACACTGGATTTGCCACTAATTACCTATGTGAATTTGACTTTACCTGTCTGAGAACTCAGTTGCCTGCTGCTTTTTTTTTTCACAAAATGTAGATAATCTTATGTCATGTTACTTCATACCATGTTTGAATCATAGAGGGATAGAGAGGTCATTTAACAGTAATTCTAAGTATAGTCCTGGCTCTTGTGGATTACATAGTCTAGTTGGGGACATGATTAGTTTTATATAACTTCTACTGGAATGTGGATATGGCAAGCACCCTCAAGTGTAAATCTTAAAAGGTCTGAAGGAGGATGACATTGTTAAGTGGGGAGAAGGAAAAATGGTTTAGGGAAGGGAAGGGTTTAAAGGCAGGAGTCACATGGATGAGAAGCAGAGCTGATCCAGAGAGCCGTGTAGCAGGATATAATGGCAGACCTCAAAGCACATAATTAGGACTTTTAATTTGAAGTGCCAAGAGACACTTCAAGCAAGGAGGGCTTCTAAGTAAATATGGAATACAAGCACAAATATGCATTTAGCAAAATATCATCCAAGCTCAGATTATACTCAAATGCTACTCATTGACAAATACCATGCTTACATATAACTTATTTATTCTGTGGCACTGGGTATTACATTCAATTTAAGATCTAAGTAAGTTAAAGTATGATGAATAGGCTTAGGTCATGAAAAGTTAACCAGTACTGAATCAGAGTTAAAACTTTACACTGCTTGGTCTTTCTCATCTACCCCATATAAAAACAGTGGTTTATATTCAGTATCTTACCTTGCTATTTTCTATGAAATCCATATATTTCCCATAATTTGCTGCATGGTCACATGTGTTTGAAATGTTTTCAGTTAACATTCTGATGCATATAGTCGGACATGGTATAATGGCTAAGGGTGAGGGAGGGCTCTGGGGCCAGATTGCCTGAGATTTGAATCCTGGCTCCACCACTTAGTTGTGTGACCTTCGGATAGTTACTTAATTTCTCTGTTACTTTGTTCCCTTATCTTTAAAATATAGATAAGCTCTAGTGGTGCAGTGGGTAAAACAGTTGGTTGCTAATCAAAAGGTTGGTGGTTCAAACTCACCAGTCACTAGACAGGAGAAAGATGTGGCAGTCTGGTTTGAACTCACCAGATTCCCCACAGGAGAAAGATGAGGCAGTCTGCTTCTGTAAAGATTTACAGCCTTGGAAACACTATGGGGCAGTTCTACTCTGTCCTAAAAGGTTGCTATGAGTTGGAATCGACTCGATGGCCGTGGGTTTGGTTTTTTGGTTTTATGGCATCTAAGTTTATTGTGAGAATGGAATTAATACAAGTGAAGTTTCTAAAAAGTTGCCTTGCTCATGTAAGGACTCAATAAATATTATCCATTACTATTGTTGTTATTATTATTTAAAGGAAGATCTTTAAATTATTAAGTTATCTTTAAATTATTAAGTATCTCCCACTGCCTTCCAGGAACTGAAGAACTAACATGGTTCTGTAAAAACTATAGAACTCAAAATGCTTTTCAGGACACTAAGCGTATCTGGCTCATTTTGAAAAATGGATATAGTCTGCTTTTGGGCAGTAGTTACTGAACGTCCACCAGCTATAGAATAGTCGAGTAGCTAAAGGAAAGCATGTGCCATTTGCCATGTGTCCTAGCAGGGTGGCAGCATGACCTCTGAGACTGAATTCCCACTGCATCAGCAGCCCATGTTGAAGTCTTGTGACCACCCAATGACTTTCCAGAGCCTTTCTGTAAAGTCAGCTGACTGCATTGGCCCTTCTCCCAGAAAACAGGTGTAAATATCACTAGAATCTACCATCACACTACCAAGTACTCTCTTGGCAGGGGGTTTAAGAATTAAATGATCCTTGGAGAATGATATAACCTCTCAATTCCAGGGTCTAATTATGGTAAACTATTCTGAAAATGTAAAACATTAATCCTATACTCTCCAGAAGTAATAAAACACAAGTTCTTAGGAGGAGAAGCAAAAATCCTTTCTTCCCTTTAGAAGACTAATCATTGGCTGCCTTTTAAAGATGAATTAATTATCTCAGGTTATTGAGCTACAATGATTTTTAAATATGGATATGAGGCAAAAAAAAAGATACAGTGAAGAAGAAAGAGTCAGGGAGTTAGGAGGCAACAGCTTGAAATTGCTATTTGGAAGGAGAAGAAGGGAGAGAAAAATACAATTAAGAAGTGGAGAATCAGGTATTATTGGTCAATATTGAGCTCTAACTATCTTTATTTCCCTGTGCTAGGAATCTGGAAAACAAGATGAGGGTAAGATATAGTCTCTGCTTCAAGGAATATAATAAATAGTGGTTGGAGAGACAAGACACAGAAGTGACATGCTAATGATTTAAGATGAGTCATAAAATCTTATTATGATACACATAAGCTACTGCCAATGTACAGTACTTATATATATTATAAGTTCAGAGATCACTGGGGTGTTAGAGATGGTATAAGAGAAAAGGAAATGAAAAAAAAAAAGAGAGAGAAAAGGAAATGTTTGTTCAGAAGCTAGAAAGCAAAAAATACAAAAAGAAAAAGGTCATTCAGAACTACAAATCTGCCAGCATCACTTGTGCCTGGCTACTTTAAATGGCTATTAGATGGTATTAGGGAATTACTTACTATTCATTATGTTAGGTTTATAATAATATGGATAATGTCCTCATTTTTTTGGTGATAAATACAGAATATTTAGGGATAAAGTATAATGAATGACCTTATGTTAATAATTGTTGAATTGAGGTGGTGGATATATGGTAATTCACTATAGTACTCTTTACCTTTCTGGTTACTTTTACATTTTCATAATGAAAAGTTAAAAACAAAAAGTGCACCATTAAATTTAAAGAAATACATAGAGAAAAGACTGAAAGGAAATATAACAGAAATTCTGTCAACGGCTAGGTTAGGATGATGGATGAATTTTCCCCCTTTTACTCTAATTTCCAAGTACTTTGCAATGTGCTTAGGAGCTCTGGTGGCCTTGTGCCTAAGACATTTGACTGCTAACCAGAAGGCTGGTGGTTCAAACCCACCAGCCACGCCTCAGAAGGAAGAATGGCCGGTCTACTTCCGCTGAGATACTGCCTTGGAAACCCAAGGAGGGGTCACTATGAGTAGGAATTGACTCAATGGCAGTGAGTTTGGTGGTTTTTTTTTTTTGGTTTTGCAATGTGTTTATGTTGATTTTAGAATAGAAAAATAATATGAAAGCTATGTGTAAACTTAAAAACAAAACAAAACAAAAAAAACCTTGACAGACCAACCAAAGGTAAAAGGTGTTGGAAAAGTTTTGCAAGGTGTTAATGTCATCTTCATCATCTTGAAAATACTAAAAAATATAGGTAAGGTGGTGAACAGAAAGGGTGGATCAGGTAAACATCTTTGTTCCTAGCATACACTTATGCTTTTTTGAATCTTAGGGTTAGCTGCTATTATCTCCAAATGCTTTCAAATCTAGGAGCAATCATTTGACATGCAAAGGTTTTATACTGAGTGTTACTCCAGAAGTGATGACAAAATAAAATGAAGGTCAAGTTGTAAGCTTTAAAAGCAATTCTCTACATGCAAAGTGACACTGAATAATCCTGGAGGAGCAAATAAATCTCTAAAATCTAGCAATTCACAGTTTAGCGGGAGGATTAAATCTCTTGCTCTTTCTTTATTCACTCATCCACACAAATACAAGCTTAAAAATTACTTCAACCCATGGTGATCTCCCACGAGAGATTATTACAGTTGCCAAAGTCTGTTTTCAGAGTAATTTCTAGTTCACATGAAATTAGCTACTAACATTAAGACACTTCTGTTGAATTTGCTTAGTCATTGTTTATATGAGACATAAGAACACTACTGGCAACTGGATGGTGCCCAGCTACCATTACTGAACATTTTTGATCAAAGATTCTGTAGAAGAATTCTGATCGAAAGGGGGAAAGGCAGAATAGAATTTCAAATTCCCATGGACTCTAGACTTTCTGGAACCATGGAGGGTGGATGAACCCTGAAACTACTGGCCTGGGATAATCTTTAAACCTTAAGCCAAAAATATACCCCAAATCATCTTAAAACTGAATACTAGTTTAGCTTAACTAGTAATAAATAAATAAAAAGTCTGCTTTGAGCATTATGTTCAATTCTATATGGGATCAAATTGACAACAGCAACTTGAAAGATTAAACAGAAACCTTTGGGCTGAGTGATGGAGGACCAACTCAGTAAAGGAGGATGAAGATGTTTGCACAACTTGAGGAACGTAATTAATGTCACTAACTTGTTGTATATGTAGAAATTGTTAAATTGGCGTATGTTTTGCTGTGCATATTCTTAACAACAAAATAACTAAAAGTAGGGGGTGAAAAAAAGAACACTACTGGCATATACATGACAACATTTTTCCAGAATTTCTAAACATCCCATACATATGTAAAACTCTGTAGGCGAAAACTCTAAAACTCACTGCAAGATGTTCAGAATTGGAAACACACTATTTCCAGCACCACAGCCAACCTAAAATCAAAAGAAGAAATAAATATCGTGAAAACAAGGTTACACTTTTCTCACCAATGTCAGATTTTCTACTAAAAAAAAAAAAAAAAACTGGAAGAAAGGTACCAGCTCTCTAGCTTGAGAAGAATTTTCTAAATTCAAAAGCAATGGAATAAATCACAAAGAATAGCCCTGGGGAATCTGACTATGGAAACATTTAAAACTTTTGCACAACAAAGCATAAAATAAACTAAATTAAAAGGTGACCGACACACTGTGAAGAAAGTATGTGCAATAAATATGATAAAGGACAGAGCTCAAAAATAAAACAAAACAAATAAACAACAACAAAACAGATAAGTGAGCAAAGGAAATAAACAAAAGACATAAAATGGCTTCTAAACATTTGAAGAACTATTTCAATTTGTTTATAATCAAATGAATATAAATAAAGATGCAAGTTTTCTCTATCAAAGTAGAAAATATTACATAATAATATTCAAGCCAGAGAGAGTGATGAAACATAAACTGCCATGAAACTGGTAACAATACTTTTTAGAAAATGATTTGCCAATGTGTTTTAAGGGTGTCAAAAATGTCCATAAATTATGAACCAAGACAATAAAACAAAATATAGCTAAAGTCTATCCTAAAGACATTTGCTGCAGAACACCTGAATAACTTAAATGCTCATGTGGAAATACATTAGTAAACTTACAGTATTCCATATGACAAAATATTTTGCAACCTTGGATAATGTTTATAAAGAATTCTTAAAAAATAGAGAAAAGTGCTTATGATGTACTGTTAATTAGAAACAGAACAAGTCCATCAGAATACATATACAGTATAGCTCAACCACATTAAACAGCATAAATAAAAGAACAAAATACCAGCAATGTTAATAATTGTTAATCCCTTGTTTGTGGGATTGTGGATAATTTCATTTAGCTTATCTACTATATAGAACGTTCTCTGTAATCAATCTATACTTCTTTACAACCAGAAAGAAAAGATTTATTTTTTTAAATAGAAAACCAAGATTGACACCAGATTAAAGCAAAATGTATCTCACTTATTTCTATCTCACTTAAAAAGGGGTAAGAACAGAGTGAAAGAGAGAGATTAAGGACAAAACCTTCTGGTACTTAAAACTGCCCTCGAGTTAGGAAGTAAAAGAAATTAAAAATTAAAACCACAAACTTGAAATTTGACTCCTTAAAGATATGAGTCTCTTGAATAGTCTTTATGCACAAAGGTATAGTGAACACTTATTTAGTTAGATTTGATCATCTTCCGCCTAGAAAACCCTAGACTATTAATAAAAAATATGGAATATAATGCCACCTCCTGCCTTTGTCCCTGGAGTACAGTACCTCTAATATTCTGAAAGTAGCATTGCTTCCAGGAAACAATTCCGTCTTCAGAGGTCCTCTTCTGTGCTCTTCAGAATCTGGGTTGGAAAAGTCTGACCCTGCTCTGCTTTGACCATCTGACGAGCCAGAATTTTTCTTGTAATGATTTTTTTCTTCAGGCATAGTAGGGCAATGCATTTCTGAGAGGCAATGTGCTGCGTTAGTTTTTACATGATCCCGTGATATATCTTCCATCTTCTCTGTAGTTTTTTGATCAACTGGGAGAATTTCAGGAAATTCCCTCAACAGCCAATTACGATCCTTGAAAAATTTATCTTTATGAATCTTGTAAAATGTGTCCCAATATTTACTAGCTTCACTTTCATACTTAACTAAAATAAAGAGAAAAGGAAAAAGAGATCCATTTTACCATGAATTATGCTATCAGTTACTATTTTGATGACTTAATATACCTAATAATTAAACAGTGTTGAACATATTACATACATTATTTATAACAACTGGATTTGCTATGGAATAACTAATATTATTATGAAGTATGAATCAAGGAAAATTAGATCTTGTCAAAAATGGAATGGAATGCTTCATGATAGAAATCCTAGGCATTAGTGAGCTGAAATGGACTGGTACTGGCCATTGTGAATAGGACAGTCATATGATCTACTATGGGAGCTCTGGAAGTATAGTGCCTAAGGCACTTGACTGCTAACCAGAAGGCTGGTGGTTCAAACTCACCAGCCACTCCTCAGAAGGAAGATGGGGCAATCTACCTCCGTAGTGATACTGCCTCGGAAACCCAAGGAGGGGTCGCCATGAGTCGGAGCCAACTTGACGGCACATAACAACAACAACAGCATGATCTACTATGCTGAGAATAACAAATTGAAGAGGAATGTTGCTGTATTCATTGTCAAAATGAACATATGAAACTCGGTTCTGAAGTACAATGCTGTCAGTGATAAGATAATATCCACATGCTTACAAGGAAGGCCAGTTAATATGACTTACTCATCAACCACTAATGGCAAAGATGAAGAAACTGAATGTTTTTTATGAACTTCTGCAGTCTGAAATTGATCAAACATATAATCAAGATGCCTTGATAATTACTGGTGATTTGAATATGAAAGTTAGAAACAAAGAAGGATCAGTAGTTGGAAAACAAGGCCTCGCTGACAGAAACACTGGAAACTGCATGATAGAATTTTCCAAGACCAATAACTTAATCATTGGTAATTTATTTTGTTCACCAAAAACATGACAATTATACATGTGGCCCTTGCCAGACAAAATAAATACACAGGAATTGAACTGACTACATCTGTGGAAAGAGATGACAGAGAATCTCAAAATCATTAGTCAGAACAAGGTCAGGGGTCTGTGGAACAGATCATTAATTGTTCATATGCAAGTTTAAGTTGAAGCTGAAGAAAATGAAAACAAATCCATGAGAACCAAAGTACAACCTTGAGTATATGCTACCTTAATTGACAGACCATCCCAAGAACAGATTTGATGCACTGAACACTAGTGACCAAAGACTAGATGAGTTGTGGGATAACATCAAGAACATGATACATAAAGAAAGCAAAAGATCATTAAACAGACAGGAAAGAAAAAAAAATGCAAAAATAGGTGTCAGAAGAAACTCTGAAACTTACTCTTGAACGTAGAGTAGCTGAAATGAATGGAAGAAATGATTAAATAAAACGGTTGAATGAGGAATTCAAAGTGTGACTTGAGAAGACAAAGTGAAATATTATAATTGTGCAAAGACCTGGAGTTAGAAAACCACAAAGGAAGAACATGCTTGGCACTTCTCAAGCTGAAGGAACTGAAGAAAGAATTCAAGCCTCAAGTTGTAGTACTGAAGGATTCTAAGGGCAAAATATCAAATGAAGCAAGAAACATCAAAAGAAGATGGAAGGAATACACAGACTCAATGTACCAAAAAGAATTGGTTGACATTCAACCATTACCTCCATCTAAGCTGCAATGAAGGCACTGGTGGAAAAACAAGACTCCAGGAATTGACGAAATAACAAGATGCTTCAACAAATGGATGCAACACTGGAAGTACTTACTCATCTATGTCAAGAAATTTGGGAGACAGCTACCTGGTCAATTGACTGGAAGAGATCCATATTTGTGCTCATTCCAAAGAAAGCTCATTCAATGGAGTGTGGAAATTATCGAACAATATTAATATCATATGCAAGTAAAACATTGCTGAAGATAATTAAAAAACAGTTGTATTAGTACATCAACAGAAATTCAAGACAGATCCAGAAGAGGACATAAAACAACAGATATCACTGCTGATGTCAGATGATCTTGACTGAAAGCAGAGAACACCAGAAAGATGTTTACCTGTGTTTTATTGACTAGGCAAAGGCATTCGACTGTGTGGATCATAACAAATTACAGATAACATTGCGAAGAAGGGGAATTCAGAACACTTAACTGTGCTCATAAGGAACTTGTACATAGACCAAGAGGCAGTTATTTGAAAAGAAAAAGAGGATAGTGACTGGTTTAAAATCAGAAAACAAAATGAATACTCATATTCAATGTGTATGCTGAGCAAATAATCTGAGAAGCTGGACTGTAAAAAAGAATGCAGCATCAGGATTGGAGGAAGACTCATTAACAACCGACAATATGCAGATGACACAATCTTGCTTGCTGAAAGCAAAGAGGACTTGAAATACCTACTGAAGAAGATCAAAGACTATAGCCTTCAGTATGGATTACACCTGATCCCACATAAATAGATCTTAAAAGAGCACAGTGGTCAAGGCAGACATACTTTGCTAGTTTAACTAGTTATTTTTGTTTGGTTTTAAGAAGACTGCAGGAGAATTTTTGGTTTAAGGTTTAAGGATTATCTCAGCACAATAGTTTCCTCCAGGCTTCATGACTCCAGAAAGTCTGGACCAAAAAGCAACAACCTGATAAATAGAGAAAAGATTGAAGTTTCAAGGATTTTACTTTACTTGGATCCACAATCAACACCTATGGAAGGAGCAGTCAAGAAATTAAATGACGTATTGCACTGGGCAAATCTGCTGCAAAAGACCTCTTTACTGTGTTAAAAAGGAAGGATATCACTATGAGGACCAAGGTGTACCTGATGCAAGTTAGGTATTTTCAGTTGCCTCATATGCACGCGAAAGCTGGACCACGAGTAAGGACGACCGAAGAAGAATTGATGCACTTGAATTACAGTGTTGGTGAAGAATACTGAATATACCACAGACTGCCAGAAGAATGAATAAATCTGTCTTGGAAGAAGTACACCCAGCATGTTTCTTAGAAGTGAGAATTGCAAGACTTCGTCTCACTTATGTTGGACATGTTACTACGATGAACATGAACACAGAAAAGCACATCATGCTTGGTAAAGTGAAGGGTCAGTGAAAAAGAGAAAGAAGACCCTCAATGAGATGAACTGACACAGTGGCTGCAACAATGGGCTTCAACACAGCACCAGTTGTGAGGATGGCACAGGACCAGACGTCTTGTTCTGTTGTTCACAGGGTCGCTATGAATCAAAGCTGACTCCAGCTCATAGCAACAATAATATTATAAACTTTCATTTATCTGATGATTTATTTATCTTCTTACCTCTTAAGTAGGTTTTTAATTTTCTCAAAATGTGTCACTGTGTGGGATATGTTCTGTCTTAGTAGTTTGGTCATTATATTTTTGTGGGAATACCATCTTTGCAAATTACTTTCTACAGTCTAATCTTGGAATCTTACTAATCATATTTAATAATAACCTTCATTATCTTAGAGAAAGTACACCTTCAAAATCAGAACCACCTCTCTTGACTCTTAGCTTCTAGGGGTCATCCTACAATTTCACTCTTCTTTCCACCTCCAGAGGCATTTCTTCCCTACAGGTATCTCCTAACATAAAGCCTTAAAGAGAGTTTTCAATGCCTTCCTAAAACAGATATGAATTTTGTGATGTCATCCCTTAGATATCCCTGGAGCTCAAGGTCAGAGTAGGTCAACAGTCTCAGAGCTCCAGGCAATTCTTATTTTACTAGGTCTTGCTATGTATGCCTTATATTAATAAACTAATTCACCCACTCACTTGTTCATTCAATAAACATGTCTCAGATACTATTAGGCACCAGGTCTAATCCCTGGGTTAGGGGTTAGTTTCATCTAATGTGACCACATGGCATTTAAAAAGTACTTTCAAAGAATGAAAACACTTTCTATTGTTATAGAACAATTTCCAAGATTTAGTGTTAGATGAACAAGCAAGGTGTACAAAGGTGTGCACATTATGCAACCATTTGTGTAAAAGCCACACACACACATATTTGTGTGTGTATGTACGGAATATTTCTGTTAGGACCATCACAGAATTAATAATACTGGTGGCCTCCAGGGAGGGGCACTGAGTGGCTGGGCATCAGAGATTGAGGGAGAAGTTTCATTTGAATTTTGATTCATGTGAATCTCTTACTATTAAAAAATAAATTAAACTGAATAAAAATAAAAATAAAAATGAATTTCCTTCATAGCTTTAAAAGAAGGTCCTCCTCTCAGAATAAGTGGCTGCCTGCAATAGGTTCATCTTTTCTTCCAGAGCCCTGTCCTGAACCCCTTACAATTTTCCTTTTCTTCTTTCCATTTTTATCTTTATGGCCTTGTACCACAGATCTCCACCCATCTGGCCACAAGCCTTCCTTCCCATCAAGGCTGAACAGTATCTGGCAGCGGGACTGCTATAAAGACAGAAACTCCCATCTGTATTTAAGGGTTGAGAAATGAAAATGGATCTCTGTAACAAAAGAATTATGTTATGTTGGAGTCAAAAACACATGTTCACATCTGCACTAATGGAAGGAAGCCTACTTATGGTTAATCTAAAAGTATTGTATGTTTATCTTTAAAATAGTTCTATGGCTACTTTTAAAAACTGAAGTGTATCTGATATACTGTGCATGAAAACAAACAACACTCTGAAAATCAGACTGAGGAGAAACTAGAAAATTTTTCCAGGGTCTTTTTGTACCTTTTATTTTCTTAGTTTACCTTAAACACTCTCTGAAACTCATGCCATACTGGTAAAAGATTCTCGGCTTAATAAAAAGTAGCCATCTAATAAGACCTACATTGAGTCAAATTTCTAATACTTAAGTTTTCAACACTGGCTACTTGTGAAGTAAATTTGAGCCCATCAAAAATTAGAATGTAATACAATACCTTGATTAATTTGTGGAACTATTCCCCTACAAATTAATTGGGGTAGGTGGTAACTTGGAAAAAAGATGTTCATAGCAGTTCTATTTATAATAAGAAAAGTATGAAATAGCTCAAATGCCCAACAATACAGAATGATTCAAGCA